ACACAGTTTCTCTTACAGGAAGCAGGTTTGAGTGAAACTCTGAGTTTTATAATCCTCAGATGAAGGAAACTCAGCTTTTGGTCCCAGTAAGAAGGATAACTTGAACAGGGTCAGTTACCATGGCAACAGATGACACACATCCAGAAAGCCATAACTCCTGATCTTTAGTACAAACATGTAAAGAGTGTGAAGGAGAGCATGTAGGAGGAAAAGGAATGAACAACGATGGTCTGTGGACGATCAGCAGCAGCTCAAACTGAGACCAGCAGAGGGCGCTGTCGGCTCATCTCAGGCTCAGGGGTGCAGCGGGTCCCCACCAATCAGAGACTGTGGATTGGCAGTCAGAGGACCTCTGTGCAGCCTCCATCTGTGTGAGAGTGTGTTAGAGTGCAGCACAGTGCAAGTCTGAAACCTGCACAGGTGACAACAGGAAACTCAGAGTTACTGAACCTGCTTCCTGAGCAGATGTTACTGTGTGCACAGGTGACAGCTAACAGCTGTATTTTAAACAGACTAAAGCACAGGCAGCATGAAGAAGAGGAGCAGAGGAAGGATGAAGGTCCATCAGGCCCAGGGTGTCCTCAGCTTCCTGTCCAGAGACAAACATGATGTCAGCTCCTCACAGCAGCCCGTCTGATCTTAATGACCTTACAGTACCATAAGTAAAATGTGTTCACAGTAGATCACACACTCACAGTTAAAAACCACAAACTGCTCCTCAATAAAAGCAGAAGTATCAATAAAATAATAATATGCAACCATGAATTAATTAAAAGCTTGTCTGTACAGAAATGCCTTCAGCTGCTTTTTAAAGACACTCAGTGGATTCAGCGTAAACACAGCGGAGGAGACGACCCTGGTGCCGCTGCCTGAAAAGCACAATCCACTGGTGTTTTGAACCGAGTACGTGGGACCAACAGTGACCTCTGACCTGAAGGCCTAAGTGCTCAGGATGAAGCGTGAGGTTTAAACAGGTCAGAGATGTACTGCGGAGCTTCACCATGAAGAGCTCTAAAAGTTCTGACTAAAAGTT